CAAGTCCTTGATCTCTAATGTAAAGATATTGAATTTTTTCAAATATTATTATAAAGTGTCTTTTAATTTTTATTTCATAGCTAACAAGCAAGTAGATAAGGTACAACAGCCCTGCTACTCAAAAAAGGCCTTAAAAATTACCTATTGCGGGTATCAAAACTATCTATGGTGGCAAAGGCCATAGAGTAAAACCATGTTCAGGCTTTTTCATGCAAAGTGATGGGAAATACTGTATTTCACCACATCTGAGGCATTATGCAGATTCATGAAGGTCCTGAAATGATCCAGATGATTTTTTGTGTCAATGGTCCCATTATACATATCTTCTGAAAGCTCAAAGGAAGAAAGGATGTTTGCCTATTTGATGGTTGTGATCATCTTCGAGCCACTGGAGATCTTTGTTTTTCTCTTTTTTCAAATCAGCTAGGTTTTTATGTAGTGTAGTGACTTGGGCAATTAGATCATTTTCAATGTTAAGGTTTGCATGGGTTTAGTTTTGTGTTAGGTTCTGTGTGGTACGATCATTGTTATGGGTATTGTCATGTAGGGTTTAAAGGTAAGTTTTTTCAGGGTAGATTAGGCTTCGTGGTAGTAGTAGTTCCTTAAAGGAAAAGGTTGAGCTTTCTTTGAAATGGGGTCATTCTTGAAGGGCTGTTAAGTGGCTTATTGGTACTGCTAAAATAACCTTTATTGTGTGGTCACCTGGGCATTTAAGAGCTATATTTGAGTCATGAGGACTTAGTAAAAATTTGAGGGAGGCTATTATATAATGGGTTGACATAGAGATTTGTAGTGGGAGTGAGACATGTAATGTAGAAGTTGTAGGAGGAATGTTTTGCCACTAAGTGGCATTAATGGCATTTGAAGATGGGATTTATGTTGCAGGTGGTTGGGAAACAAGGTTTGAAGTTTCAAGAGCAGTAGTGTGGATCAATGGTGGAATAAGTGTCATGTTTGGAAATAAAACTCCTATTAAGTTTTGCTAAAAGCCTAAAGGCTATGTGGCCTAGGCATTTAATAATAGAGGATTTTTAGGGAATGGAGAATTCCAAGAAGGTAAATTTAGTGATGGGATTTGATGAGAAGTTGGTAGTAAAGATGATGCAGGAGTAACAGCTACAAGTCGAGTAAAAGCATTAATGGTGGGAGTTAAAGTTTCAAAGGAATGCGGTTAGCAAGACATAGTTGTTGTTTCCCACAAATAGCGCCAATTATTGATGGTGTTTTTAGGTGTCTTAGCTAAAAAGAATGAGGTGAGGTTGAAATGAAGGATAACTTGAACCTACGGCTAAAGAACACTATCAAAAAGACCAGAGTTGTTGCTCTAGGGCATGCTCTGATTCGTGCTTCGGCATTCAAGTTAGTATTGTAGAAGAGGTAAAGCAAAGTAAGGAAAGAGAAAAAAGTGGTGAACTATGTGTAAAAAGTTTCAACAAAAGGAAGCTCAAAACGTGTAGCAGGGTTATGTGTTCTTATTACATATCTGGTCCTCCAATTACCTTATATATGTGAGCAAGAGACAAAGATCTGATTGAGATAATTAACAGTTGATGGGATATCTACGTGAAGCTCGAGAAAGGTCCATGTGGGTAAATGTAAGTTGCATTTAATAATCTCAAGTAAACATGGGCTATATTTAATGGTCTTAAGTAAGTTGGATGCCAAATGATCAGTTTCAAAGTGACTATCTCGACAGGTTGTCAATAGTACATTGGGCTTTCTTAGGGGAAAGGCAAGCCATTTCCTTAAAGCAGATGACGTGGCTGTCTAGGCATGCCTTGTCTAGGTGGCCCTAAAATATGACTATGTTGACCAAATCTTAACCAAATTGATCATTGACCAATTAATTCAGGCATAACAAACTCAAAATTAAATCTACCAATTTTAATAATTCAAGCTCAATAATCTTCATTACAATGCACACGTGCACATATACTTTTTATATCGTTCGAGAATAAAAGTAGTTAAAGTTAGAATACAATAGGGTGAAAAATTTTTGGATGAGAGACAACCTATCAAGGTATTGTGATAACAGTGTTCATTTTTAAAATTTTGGTAATTTATACAAATAATTAGATCATTATTTTTAGTAAATATTTGATAATTTTATATGATAATGATATTGGACCAATTTAATTTTTATTCAAAAAGATAAAAAAAATTATCCCAGTGATCAAATGATATGTAAAATTAACTATAATTAATATTATCTATTTAATATGTGAATTAAAAATTTATTCTTTTTTATAATTGAAGTTGTTAGAGTTTGAATGTTGATTAATAAAATTAAAAGTCAAATACTTTACCGACAAACCATATGGATGTTGATAAATTTACTTTCTTTCAAAATTGTAATTATTTTATGTTATAAATATTTATATTTTCAAACTAATATTAATTATACCAAATTTAAAAAAAAAGATTTATGCTTTCTTTTATATATATTATACTTTTTTTTCAATCTTGTATGCTTTCAATAGATTTTAGTTTTATTTTTTAATCCAAATGTTTTCTTACATAATTTATATTATAAAAAATAACTTAACTATTAATAAATATATTTTTTTATTTAGTAATTTAATTATTTTTTGTTATAAAGTAAATAAAATATTATTAATATTTTACCACTAATTATTTTTAAACAGCTAATAATCATGTTATCTGTTAGTAAAATATTGAATTCTTAGTTTAAGTGATCAAAATTCAAATTCTAACAACTCTAAATATAAAATAATAATAATAATAATTTTATTATTATTATTATTATTATTATTATTATTAAACATCTTCGACGTCATTAATATATTTAACTTTTATAATATAAATGGTTATTTTGATATCTTTAAATAAAATAATATTTTATTTTTAATAATATCAAATATAATAATTCTTATTTTTTAAAATTAATTAATATTAATTAAATAAAATAATTTTAAATTACAACGACAAAAATCTCTTCGATAATGATAATAATCTTAAAAATAAAATGTCATTACGCAAAGGTCGCTTACTCTCCAACTAGTTTTGGGCAAAACTTACACAAAAATAAATATTTTATTGGTTGTATGCATTTAACGTCCAAGATAAATCAATAGTCAAATCTTAAGGCCCATCGACCTTGAATAAGTTATTATGTTATTGACGTTAGCTGTTGCATATTATTAGTTTAAAAACGAATATGTGTAATATTTTTTAATTAAAAAGTAATAAGATAAAATATAAAGATAGATTGAAAACTAAAAAATGTCAAATCTTAAGAAATCATTCAAATCTGATAAGTTCCAACATAGAAGGGTTATCCGAAAGTTGTTGGGTTAATGACTCAATGATGTTTGAACCGAACTCGACAAAGGTGTTAAAGCGATGGTCGAGAAGGTCCTTGCAGTTGTGACAGTGCAACAAAGCCTAAGGGGGGATACCTTAAATTAGTAGAGACTCTTTTATGCCTTTTTTTCATTAAGAATCCCAAAAATGATTTTGAAAATGGTGCAAGTCTCTCCTGTGACAGCTCCGTAACTGTGTCGCAAGCTGATAAACCTTAGAGCCAGGCATGAAAATTTTTTATACCTTTATGGTCAGTGAAGCTACTTTCTGTTTGTAATTGTGTACAATTTTAAAATATTATGGCTCATTTTGCTTTAAAAACAAGATAGTTGTACCAATATTAATATAGTATAAAAGTCATAAATTTTCTGTATTAATTTGTTTAGATACGCTGTCCCATTGTTCATTGGTAGTGTATACCTACTCTTTCATGTATTTTCTCAATTGTACTCCATGTTCTATATTTATGACTTTAGTCATTAATTTAAAAACAAAAATGATATATTTCAAAAAGATTAAAAAAGATAAAAAGACTACTGGAGTTCATCAAGTTGCTTGTATATTGAAAATAGAGTTTCTTCATTCTGCTTTCAAACATTAAATGAATTCTCTTTAGTTCCCTTTCTATCATACTAATTTTTTGTAGGTAGATATAATTATAATTTTATTTTAAGTGTTTCAAATATAGTAGGTTACCCTTTCCTAATCCATAAATTTCATCAATTTTGTTTTAGAAGTCGAATATGAAAATGTTAAATCGAAATTAATCGGAAGTTTTAATCGACCGGATGGCCTTTATCATAAATTTTGTGTTTTTAAAGAATTGTAACAATTTGAACCTATGATTATGAGAAGACCACATATAATTAAAAATGTATAACAAAATTTCTATCCCTCTTTTGGATTAATTCTCCTTGAGGAAGGCAGCAGAGAAAGAGATCGCCTTAGAAACTGTACAAGATACTCCGACCGAAGTAGAAAAGAAAATAAATTTTGTATGAATTCAGAATTAATTAGTTCAACTGATTTATTTGATAATCATTAAAATATAATATTTAATAAATTTAGAAAACAAATTTCAATATTTATAATTTTTTTTCTCAAATTATGATCTATTTTATAAAATATAAAAACAATTTTACTTCGCATGTAAGACTCCGGAACCATCTGACAAAATAAATAAACCCGGTATATTTATATTAGTCTATAAGCAATAAAATGTAAACAACTAAATAAATAAAAATTAAATCTTATAATTAAATCATCTTCTTAATCTAATGATTAAAAAAATTTTATAAAAATATAAAAGTTTTAATTTCGAGTCAAAATTTTTGTTTTCCTTAAAGTTATGCCCTCCTCTGAAAAAAAAAAATTATCTTCCTACGAGAATTTGTTGGTTTTTGTTTCATTTCTACTTTTACTTTTCCTTCATCTAAGGTGTGGTAATTACAGTATCTCATACTTGAAACTGAAGAAAAGAAAAAAAAAAAAAAACTGGGAAGTTTGATGAAGTAGAGCTTTCTGAAAGTGACATCGCACGTGTGTTACGCGTTGTCTCGTTGATATACACGTGTAAAAACCCAGAATAAAAGTAATAGTATTAAAAAAAATTAAAATATATAATAATTTTGTCAAATTTTCATTTTTTAAAAAAACATAGGCTGATCTTGGAGGGTTGATTCATTTATATATATGCAGGTTGGAACTTGTTATCGGTCCACAGCATACAACTTCGAAAGAGTTCCTTTCCTTCTGTTTGTCTGTCTGTCTCATATTTTATATAATTATTTATTGTTCTCTTCATAATTCCCTGGTAAAGATTGGTGTATCAGTTTGAGACTCCGATCACTTCGTCGAATAATCTAAATAAATCTTTGTTGGAGCCTTGGGATTCAGTTTATTTGAAAGATGGGAAGGCAACCATGCTGTGTCAAAGTTGGGTTGAAGAGAGGGCCATGGACTGCAGATGAGGATACGAAGCTTATTAACTTCATCCTCACCAATGGCCAATGCTGTTGGAGAGCTGTTCCCAAGCTTGCAGGTCTCTCCTCCATTCTTTTAAGTTTCATTCTCTCACCCACATTTCAAGGAACAGAATCACAACGACTTTGAGTTTTTATTTCAGTTGTTGTTGGGGAAACAAGGGAATCTTTTGGTTCTTTCTTGGATTTGGAAAAGTTTTTAACGTCCTGGGAATCTTTTTGTTTCCCAATTAGATTTGTTCTTATCTTTTCTCAGTTTTCGATGAAGCAAAAAGATTATTCATCATTTTTACCCGTTTATAGAATTCATTTAGCTTATTATTTTTCCTTTTTTTTTAATCGAGGATATAAAAATGAAAATTTGGGTTAGGCAACTAGTGGTCAAGTGGAAAAAGAAATACATGAAGAAGAAATAATTATAATCATTTCAGCAAAAAAATGAATTTGTTGGATGTGACATTGCAGGATTGTTAAGGTGTGGGAAGAGTTGCAGACTGAGATGGACAAACTATCTAAGACCAGACCTGAAAGGAGGACTTTTATCTGAACATGAAGAGCAAATGGTCATTGATCTCCATGCTCAACTTGGCAACAGGTTCCCCATCTTTGAATTTTCACCATTTTTCTTATGTTTCTCTACTCATCATTTCCTCTGTTTTCACCTTTGGATTCTGGTTCTGCTTCGAACTCATTTCATTACCAAAGACATTATTACTTGGTGGTGTTTTTCCTTGAAAATAACTCCCATCTTTCGAAATGATTTCCAAGACATTATAAATTATCCAAAAATAACAGGCTTTTTCCCCTCTCCCACTATCTCTCTCTCTCTCTCTCTCTCTCTCTCTCTCTCTCTCTCTCTCTCTCTCTCTCTCCAATCTTTGAAAATTTTGACTTTGAATTTTTTTAATGCAAATCAGCTTTGATTACAAATGATGGTCTTAGCTCCTTGCAGCATGTTCAGGGAACCAGGGGGATCTTCCAGAATTTAATTAATTTATATAATTATTATATGGTCTTAGCTCCTTGCAGCTTGTTACTCACGGTAGAAGTCGAATTTAATTAATTTATATAATTATTTTTATAAACTAACATTTAATATATTAAAATACAAAATTCAGCATTTACAACTTTTCTTTTGTCTCATACTTTGATCACTTTGTACCCAAAAAAAAAAAGTTTTTCAGTATAAAGATTATATATAGGAGTAGGGAAAATTGTTTAAAAATTAATGAAAGTCAGGTAGTACATATATAATTTCAGATACGATAATATAATACGAAAATAATATGAAAAAAATTTTATATATATTTTTAAAAAATATGTTTTACATTTATTCGTATCAACACAAATTTTAACAAGACACAATTCATGTCATATATGTGTTGATTCATTTAAACACGTAACACGACACGAATAACATATTTAATTTATTTTTATCATATAAATACATGTTTAACATATTTTTTATATTTATTTTAATTTAATATAAACATATAAAGATTTTTTTAATTTTTAATTTTTAATTATGTTACTTAATTATTTATTTAATATCACATTAAAATTATTTTAAATATTTAATTATGATATTCATTTAGTAATTATTATAAAATTATTTTTTTATATTAATAATATAAATATTAATATTAGTCATATATATTATTATTTTATTTTTTAATCTTTAATAGTTTATCATTTTGAATTTGATACTAAGATTAATATAGTTATATAATATAAATTAAAATTAAAATATATATATATTAAATGCATATTAAATGAGTATTAAATTTTTTTATTTTTTTAATATGTAAGTACTCTTTCGATTATTAATATATCAAATTTATTAAGTTATAAATAGTGAATAATTTATAATTATTTATTATTTTAATCATATTTTGTATATATTTGCATTAATTATATTTATTCATGTATATTTGTATTAATTGTATTTATTTATATATATCCATATTATTCGTATTTATTCATGTCGTGTTTAAATAAATTTATTATTCATACTAATCATATCATATCACATATAATATGTATATTAAACATATTATGTTTGTATTTAAGATTTAAATACATTTTATAATTCATGTCGTATTTATATTTTAATAATTTATATCATTACACGTATTAAATACAATATAAAACGCGATAAAAAAATAAATTGTCAAATCTACACATAGGTTAAGGGAGTTGTTTAAAAAAAAAAAAGAGCAAATTTATTTTACATGGAGCTTTCTTGTGGCCATAAAAAAGGTCATCCTTCTTTAAATTAGTCCCAAATTGTAACTATTTTACTTCTTATTGTCACACTTGCCTTTTTTATTTTAATATTTTTGTCTTCTTTAATATTTTCCACTGTTTTCTTTTTTTTTTTGTTTATCAGATGGTCTAAGATTGCTTCTCATCTCCCTGGAAGAACTGATAATGAGATCAAGAACCATTGGAATACTCACATCAAGAAAAAACTGAGGAAAATGGGCATTGATCCTCTAACTCACCAGCCACTATCTACTACCGAACAACAACAGCAGCAGCAAGAACAAGTTTCAAAAGCTGCTGTCAAGACTCAAGTACTGTGTAAAATTAAGGAGCCTGAAACATCCTTACAATCCACAATAACTGAAGCAAAGGAGGAAGAGAAGAGCATGACAACAAGCCCATTATTTGACCCAATGGAGGTGATGAACAATATTGATGGTTTTTGCACAGATGAAGTTCCATTGATTGAACCCCATGAAATTTTAGTTCCTTGCTCTGCACCATCAAATTCTTCTTCCTCATTCTCTTCTTGTGACTCTTCCAAGTTCCTCGAAGAATTGCAGTTTCCTGATTTTGGGTGGCCTTCTGATTACAACAATAGCAGCTGCAACAACAACAATTTAAGCTTGTGGGATGATGATTTCAGCAGTTGGGATTGGCTAATCAATGATGACGATGGTGACAAAAAGCTAGCTCTTGCTTCATTATCATCTCCTCTAATTCAGTGTCCTAGAATGGGTCTTGATCAAGATTATGAGATCTTATGATTTTATTTTCATTTCCTTTCTTTTCTTTTTATAGGTGAGTCTTATTTGTAATTTGGGAATCAGCTGTCACGTAAGAGAAAGAAAAATAAGATATCAAGAATCGGTGGGGAAAAGCCGTCATTTATTTGTTGTTTCTCCCTTCTTTTTTTAAGTCTTTTCCCGAAAAATAAAAGTAATTTTTTTTATATATGATGAATTGAGGAGAAGAATCCAATGTGATGTGAGTTCAATATGATCATATTTAATAAGAAAGAAATATTGTGAAGAAACCCTCACAATCAAGTCATTACTTACTTAAAAAAAAATTATTTCCAGTGATATGCAAACTGATTTAACTATTTTTGTCATAACACAATTATTCCCACTGCTTACATTTGTTAATTATAATGTTCAAACATTGTATTTGCCAAATTATGTTCAAAGTTCAAAACTTCATAATTATGGTCAACATATTGTATCATCGTTAAAAGTTTAATTTTAATAATCGAAATTTAGTTTTAATAAATTTAAATATAAAAAACTCTTTATAGTGATCTAATTAATATTTAATTTTTTAAATGCCTCCAAAACTTTAAATAGGTACAGTTTTATATATATATATATATATATATATATATATACTTTTAAGGCCCCAACCAGTTATTTCTCCATTCGTTCCAATTGTATGTACTGGTGGTCATATGTAAAATATATTGACATAGAGTCAAAGAATTTACTTTGAATTAATTTTATTGACTTTTCCACAATAAGTAAACACCAATTATTTCGATAGTTTAATTTTTTTGATCTAAGAATTTTGACTATTAGATGGATGTTCATTGCCGATCAATTTTTTTTTATTTTATAAATTAATTTTTTAAAATAATTTATTTAATTTAAAAAAACATAAAAGACAAAAAGTTTTCAAATAAAAAGCAACCAAAATCCATTTCTGACCGGACCATGCTTTTGAAAAAAAATATGATCCCACTCTTGATCTAATTTTGATTTAAATAAAATGTTCCTAATGAATCAGGATGACATACAAAGTCAAAATGATATATGCATATATATATATATATATAATTGATTAAAAATTAAAAAAAAAACTCAAAAATAGTATAAATTTAAAAATACTTTTTAATCAATAATATTAAATCATTTCAAATTTTTTTTAAAAAAATTAGATAATTAATTAAATATGTAAAAAGAAAAGAAAAGAAAACTAGAATTTAAAATAAAAACGAAAAGAAATGACAAAGGAAAATAAGGAAAATAAAAAGAAAATAAAAAATAGAAAAAATGGACAAAAAGGTCCCCACGTGACAGTTCCGGAGTCAAACTTACCAAAATTAATGATACAAATAGATATAAAATTCCTTAAGAAAAAAAACATAAAAAAATTGACTATAAATTGACATTAGCTCTGAAATCTGAACCTAAAGGGGGAGAATATTAATTATTAAGGCGTAATGGCAAAATAAACTTTAGCTTTAGTTGAGTTTTAATTTTTGGCATTGATCTCTTGTATGAAAAAAAAAATTTAAGCTATTCGAGCTTAATTTGTCAATTATCATCAAATAAAAGTGAAGAACTCAAACTTGATTTTAAAAATACAAAAGGACTATAATTTCATATTAAAAAAATGAATTTTTATATTAAAAATTATCAAAACATTCAAAAAGACTATAACTTCATATTAATAAAAATGAATTTTTATATTAAGAATTAACTCAATCGATAAGTTTATTTATCTCTACAAAAGTGATTTTGATTAGAATTTTCTCATTATTTATAAAAAAATAAATTATGATAGAGATTTTTGTATTTTATCAAATTTAAAATTTAATCCATATATTGTAATTTATATAAATTTAGTTTTCATGTTATTTTGATTTGATAATTTTAATGTAATCACTAACTCTATTAATTTTTTATTATTAAAAATATTAACATGACTGTTGACTAAATGATATAGATGTTAACTTGATGATGTAGGCATTAACTATGCTGATATGATAATTTTAATCTAAAATCAATTGTTAAATTATGCAAATGATATTTATATTCATACAAAATTCAAAATTTTATCCCTCTAGTATAATTTTATAAAACCCTTGTTTTCGTATAAATTGAATTTAATAATGTTGGACCAATTACTAAAACAATTATTTTTTTATTTTTTTAAAATATCTAATTTTAATTTTTTAAAAATAGATATTTTGATTTTTTTTAGAATTTTTCCTTATTTTTAAAAAATTAAATTCAAAATTTTAAATTTTTTTAAATCATATTGTTTTATTTTCTAAAATTATATTTTTTTTAAATTCAAAATTTTTAATTTTTTAAAATTTTTTAGATTTTTGAAAATTATTAAATTTATTTTTTTCAATATTTTAATTTTTTAAAATAAAATTCATTTTTAAAATTTTTTATTTTTTGAAATTTAAGCATTTTATTTAATCAAAATATTTAATTTTTTGGAATTTTTATAAAATTTTCTATATATGTTTTTTTTTTTATAAATTTCTCTATATTTTTCCAATATTTAGATGAATAAATAAATAAGTAATAAAGAATACAAGGTTCTTAGAATTTGCCCTATTTTAATATAATTGAGGTGGAAAAGCAAAAAAAAAAAATGAGGTAAAATAAAATAATAACGAACCACGGATAGTTTTTTATTTTTGATTTATTTTTCATTGAATAAAATAAAAATGGTTAAAAAAATTTTTTAATTTATAGACTCTTTTTTAAACACAAAATTTTAAAAATATATTAAACATTTATATATGAAAAACCATAAAAGTTAAAATATATAAAAAATTTTATAAATGTTTCAAAAAATTAGTAAATATTAAAATTAAATATTTTGTTTAAATAAAATGTTAAATTTTGAAAAAATAAAAACTTTTTAAAATAAAATTTTAAAAAATTATAACATTATAAAATTTAATATTTTTTTTTAAAATCTAGAAAATTTTAAAATATTGAATTTTTAAAAAAATAAAATCAAATTTTATAAAAGTCAAAAAATGTGATTTTTAAATAATGAAAATATTTTAAAATATTAAATTTAATATTTTAACAATTTGAACAATTTTTAAAAATTCAAGATATTGATTTTTTAAAGAAATTAAAATCTGATTTTTAAAAAAATAAAAAAAAATATGATTTTTATTAGTAATTGGATCAATATTATTAAATTCAATCTGTACAAAGACAAGATTTTAATAAGATTATAATAGAAAGAGTTAAGTTCAAATTTTTTGTGAGTATAGGAATCATTTGCTTAATTTGATAACTGATTTCATTTATTCAAGTTGCCAAATCAGTGAAGTTAATATTACGTTAGCAACGTCAATATACAAGTTATCAAGCCAATAACTAAATCAATATTTTTAATGGCAAAAAAGGGGTGAAATTTGTGATTGGACTAAAATTATCAAATTCAAATAGTACGAAGACTAAGTTTATATAAATTATAATATATAACTAAATTTTAAATTTTGACAAAATACAAAGATTTTTTTATATAATTTAACAAAAAAAAATTACCATTGATATTTTTGTTGATGATAATATCTAATTCACAATTTCTATAAGACAAGACATATCTTATTTTAATTTGAAAGACTTGAACATCATATTTATTTGAATTTAAAAAAAAAAAAACTTAATGGAATACTATTTCTTTTGTATTTATTATTATATGATTCCCTTTTTCAACGAGTAATGGTATATTATTCTTTCTTTAAAAAAAAAATAAAGTAGTGTATTATTCCTTTTTGAAGAAGTAGTGTATAATGTCAAGGTAAATGTTAACTAAAAAAATTATTTTTCCAAATCGAGGGTGCCTTTTATTGATAATGTAATTTTGTAATTAATTTGTATATTTATGTTTGCATTTATCACTTTGGTTTTACGTGGCAACCAATATTACAAAAGATTGCTTTGTCGTGTTAGCTAAAACCGTAGATTACTAGTTACAATGGCATTGGCAACCAATAACAATGTTTCAACACGTTAGGTATTTGATGGAAAAAATATATTTTTTAATTAAAGATTTAATAAGCTAAATTTACACAATTATTTTTAAAAAATATATAATTTAAATCTTAACACTTATAATTTTTTTTATCTCACATTACAACCCTTTTTTAAACAAAATTACCAACATTCCCAAAATATTCATAAATAAGTCTTACAAATTAAAGTGTAAAACCAATGTTTTCATCATGTATTCACGTAAAATGAAGCAATTTGCATAATTAGTTGTGGAATGAAATGCATCAATCATTTATAATTTTTTGTAAAATATTTTTTTGTGATTTTTAAATTTTAATTTTTAAATATATGATCTCTTAAAAATATTGTAAATTCATATATTTCATTAATAGTCATTAAAAATATTAATGAAATATGTCGATACTCCAACGTAATTATAATATAGTGGTTTCAACTGTAAGAAGACAAAAAACAAAATAGAAGTTTGGATGAAATAACGCCTGACCTCCCTGTGGAGTAAATTTAATACAATGAGCCGACATACATTTATATGTACGATCGAGTTTTGGTTTGATCATAATCCAATGTCTTACTGTCTATTCATATTGGATTTTATTCTTATTTTTCGAAACTTTTTATATCATAAAAAAAAGTTCTTTAAATTTTATAAATTGCATAGTACTTTTGAAACCTTTAGAGAAAAAAATTTTATAATTTAGTTTCTTTATAAAGGAAATTGTAGTCTGTAAATTAAAAAAAAAAATTGTAATTATTAATATTGGATTTCAAATGCATTGAATGTTATTTTTTAAGGTAGTTGTATAAATTAATTAGACTAAACTACATATTCTTATAACTTTGTCTCTATTCTATGTGGAATTAAGATGGATTTTAGTGGTCTTGTGAGGCTATAAAAAAAGGGTTTACAAATGATTTTTGAGTTTGTTTGAGTACCCATAAAAAGAAATGTAATTTCTTTTTTTTTAATAATAAAAAAATCATTTTCTTAATGGACATAAATAACTGATCGAATCACATAAAATTTTGAGTGTGTGTATCTTTTTTTTGTTTATTTCTCTGTAAATTTTACTTGATGTTTCTTGGTCAAATTTTATTGTATACTCCAAAGAGAGTGAGCTAATGAAAAGAAGAGATAATAAAGATAAAAGGGGATAATATACTAAAATC